CTCTCCTGATAACCTTCTTTTCTTCCACTTGCTTCATGATGGCCTCCAGGATAAGCTGCTCCATCACTTTTCCCGGGATGGAGGTGAGGCTGACCGGCCTGTAGTTCCCTGGGTCCTCCTTCTTGCCCTTTTTGAATATCCGGGAAGATATTTTGAAAGATTGTTTCTGTTTCAGGCAAATGTTCCTTTTTCTCAGGAAATTAGTTAAAAAAGACATGGTATCCAGGCCAAGAAAAGCCAAATCACTGGATTTATTTTTAGGTCTATTTATCAAGTGATAGAAAGACACCTTGAAAGTCAAAATATTTTTCATTTAGTGAAATCTGGACAAAGCTTTTAGGAACTGCCTTTTCAGCACTACTTCTGTTCTGCTTTGACATTGATCTATGGCTATGGAGAATGTGGAAGCTTATAAACAGATCAGCCGTCAGAGATTGTTTTTATTTCCAGTAAGAAACAAAACTGGCAGCATGACCACATTTAGCATCAGATGAGCGTGCCTTTTATGTTCTTTGAATACAATATGACTTTGTTTATTTTTCCAGCCTTCTGCAAAATATTTTATTCCATAGATCAATGACTGTCATAACATATGACTCAAGATGGAAATTTCCCCCGCATCATCTGGGAGAAGCAGCTCAAAGATGACTGCATTTTCATTTTACTCTACACTCCAGCCACTGCACAATGCCGCCTGAAGCCTCCTTGACATGGTTCTGCCCTGAGATCCCTCCTTTGTGATCATCCACCCAGCTTTATACAGGCGGGAAGTAGTGCTCTTAGACCTTGCCTATTGCTATGCTAAGAGTCCACATGTACTCGCAGAGCAAAAAACAGCTTTTACAAAGCCTACTTACCACTTAGGAGAGTTAAATGGGATCTCCAACTCTCCTTTACAGACCGAGGAAGAAAATCAATGACTACTTCTTCCAAGGACTAGAAGCTAAGCCATCCATTTCAGTGGAAGGTCCAGCAGGGGCCACCTTTATGCTCTCCTCTCTCAGGCCTCCTGAACACTGCCACAAATAAGTAGATAGCAATAACACCACTTTCACTAGAAAGGCTTCTTCACCATCGGTTAAGACACCCAAACACATCAGCCAGCAGTTGCTGCTGGCTAACCTTCGCCCCTGAGCCCACGTGTGAGCTGGAAGCCTGGAGCGGCCATGGGCCTCGCTGTGAGTGATGAGCGGTGGCAGAGGGACACGTCCTCGCTGGGGGCTGCCCGTGGCCCTCAGCCTGCCCCGTGCACCGGTCCCGGGGGCATGGAGGGCAGGGAGGACAGGAGCCCCTGTCATCACACAAACCGGTGGTGCAAGGAAGCAAGGTGAAGGGAGAGATGGGGAAATTCACTCACCGAGTTGCCTCACTTCTGAACAATACTCCAGTCGCAGGCTTGTCTGTGACTGAGATTTAAATAAATAACATTTGCTCCCAAATTAGCCAGAGAAGAATAAACATTTTAAGACCTTTTGGCTGTCCTAAGAGAGAATAAGAGGCCTTGCTATACATCTGAAGAACTAAATTGTCTTAATTGCATCCTTGTGCAAAATAAAGCATTACACACAGTAGAAAAATATTTTCAAGTGGATGGAAAAATCCACTGTGCTAAAGGAATACTACTGTCACGTTAAATGTGTCCCTGCATTTGTGTGGTGCAAAAACAAGCTTTAATAAAACTGAAGAGTCTAATAGGAACATTTCCATGAATTTAAAAATAACAGCAATGGAAACAACCTTATAAAATAAGTAAACCTCTCCCTTCAATATTTGCAACTCAAGTATTACAGCATTAATTTAGGGAATGGGAATGTAAAATAAATTATGAATTAAGTGCTTTGTTCTACAATACGAAAGGCCAGATTTTAAATTCCCTGTCTAGCTGTGGCTCCTGTAATTTCAGTACCACTGCTGGGATGTAGAATTTAGCCCACTGAAAGACCAATTTAAATGCAGAAACTACCTGGTATGATACTCACCCATTAGGTTTCCAGGTCTATAGCAGATACACAGAAGGATACCTGACTTCTAAGGAAGGCTTCTTTGGCATGACACTTTACACCTACTCAAGGCTGTTTTCTGAACCATAGACCACTCTTAGACTCTATATACGTTAGTTATGGATGACCTGACATTGGTCTTACAAATGAATAACATGAAATGCAAAGCTCACCCAAAGAAAAAGGTACCAGGGCCCCGCGATTGTGCCCATTACACTGCTCTACGGGTCGCCTTCCTGGAGTGCTGCACTCGTGCTGGGTTAACTGGGGACGACTCCCTTGGAGACCAGTCTGTGTTAAGACTTGGTCCATGCTGGCTCAGAACAAAATAAGGTACTTGCATTTATGTCACCAGGAGCCAGCTTCTTCCTCTAAATCATGCTTTCAGTAGTTTCTCCTGCTCCCCATCTCCAGCTTTTGTTCCTCCAAACTGCTACCAGGGACACTGCTTTGCCCCTCTTCCTTAGCATGAAGGCCCCAGTCCTGCCCATCTTGCAGGCAGAACTGCTTCAGAGTGCTGGGCCATGCTCACATGAATTTGCCAGATGTCTGTATACATGCTCGAAGATGAATTCCAACCAAAAAAAAGAATATCCTGGCATTAAAGCATCAGGGAACAGAAAAAAAAAAAAATCCCAAGGCCTACACTGATTTACATTGTTTATTTGGGACTTGTTGATAGACTCAGATTCTGTAAGTAGCCACCACAGGATATGATTAGTTCAGATCTGAGTGAGGTATAACAAGATCATGATTTACTGAAGGTCAGAACTGTACACAGAAGATTAAAACAAAAATACCATCAGATTGCTCTAGGACCTGCAGGAGCTGATCCTGCCAGGATATGTTTTCTGTTTCCATGCTTCTGAAAATCAAGGCAGACAGGATTTCCTTAAAATCTCTTTGTCATTCCTAATTTCCCACGTCGTCCAAAATCTGTGTATAGGAAGAATTAAAAGAAAATAAAAGCCAGTAAAGTTCATTCTTGCCCCAATAAAGACTTCTGACAAGACTGTTAAGCTGTTAAATTATACAGGGCAGATCCTGTAGGATGGGAAGTTAGTTGGCAATGACTCTGTAGATGAAACAGTCTTAACACCTTAACTTGCTCATAAATAGAGCTGGAAACTCTGCATCCATCAGCGGTTTCTTCTAGCAGGAAGAAAATCTCCTTGACAGGAGGGAAGGAGAACAGCCCAAGTTTTACTGTTCTTCTGGATAAAATCTAATCATCACTGGTGGTACAGAATCACAGAATCACAGAATGGTAGGGGTTGGAAGGGACCTCTGTGGGTCATCTAGTCCAACCCTCCTGCCGAAGCACGGTCACCTACAGCAGGCTGCATAGGATCTTGTCCAGGCGGGTCTTGAATATCTCCAGAGAAGGAGACTCCATAACCTCTCTGGGCAGCCTGTTCCAGTGCTCTGTCACCCTCAGAGGGAAGAAATTCTTCCTCATGTTCAGACGGAACTTCCTGTGCTTCAGTTTGTGCCCATTGCCCCTTGTCCTGTCACTGGGCATCACTGAAAAGAGCTTGGCCCCATCCTCCTGACACCCACCCTGCAGATATTTGTAAGTATATATTAGGTCTCCGTGCAGCCTTCTCTTCTTGAGGCCTCACTAGGGCAATGTAGAGGGGAAGGACAACCTCCCTCGTCCTGCTGGCCACACTCTTCTTGATGCACCCCAGCATGTCATTGGCTTTCTTGGCAGCCAAGGCACACTGCTGGCTCATGGTTAACCTGTCGTCCACCAGGACACCCAGGTCCCTCTCCACAGAGCTGCTCTCCAGCAGGTCTACCCCAAGCCTGTACTGGTGCATGGGGTTATTCCTCCCCAGGTGCAGGACTCTGCATTTGCCTTTGTTGAACCTCATCAGGTTCCTCTCTGCCCAACAATTACAGTTTTCAAAGAACTGGGGACAGGAGTGTCTAAGTTGCCCGCATTAGGCGCAGAAAGCCGGTAGAAATCACACGAGCCTGGTTGATGGCACAAACTGGAAGGAGAGCAGCGGAGAGTTCATCTTGACCAGAAAGTACCTTCGGTACCTGTTGGGCATGCGGTGATCAGAGAAAGGTGCCTGTGGACACTTGACCTAAGAGCAAAACTTCTGTAAAACAAGATTGCCTGGATCCAGAGCACAGTACAAATACTCATCAGGCACCGGGTTGTCTCCCAGCTTGTTAGCGGAGACAAACACGGACAACTTAGAAACCGTCTCATATTTTTGGCCCCTTCTCGCTCTGTCTGCCTGTTCCTGCCTATCTTCTGGTCGCTTTTCTGCTGCCTGTTTTCCCCAAGAACTCCCCACCCGTGCTACGCTAAGAGATGGCATATGCACATGGTGCCTGTCTTCTTGCAGAAACCTACCCCCATTAATTAATAATGGGAGAAAACCTCACAGGCACACTAGGTTCTTGTTACTTCCACTTAGGGCCAGTTTCAAAGGCAGACTAAGGTGGCAGCCATCTATCCTAGCAAGAAACTCAATGTGCTAAACTTTTATACATGTGAAATTAGCCACCTGCAATAACGGTTGTAAAATTGTTAAATTAGTAACAGCGATTATTCTCATTTCTTGCTGGGATATCAGAGAACTAGCACGGAACAGCAGTAAAAAAGGCTCCTACATAGCCCAGAAAATAGGCTAAACCAAGTGTTGCTCCCGCAATGAAACCAGAAACCTTGCTGAACTCACTGCAGGGCCTCCTGCTTTCAAGGACTTCAAGTGTCACTCTATATCCCCCCTGGAATATTACAAAAGCGAACAGGAAAGAATGATCCATTTTTTAATGCCTGCTAGAAATTAATCTGGCATGAAAAGAATTACAAGTCACAAGATGCCACAGAAAACTGGAATGTCAAAGCTTAATAAAACCACAGTTCCCAACCCCATTTTCTTCCAGTTTGGGGTGTCCGATCTTCAACGTACGTTTCAGTGAATCCTCTTCATCTAACTTAACGAAGTACTCGAAAGCCCCCAGCCGACAAGCAAGGCTTCACTCGAGCATGTACTGTATCACAGAAGGATCCACTTCTTCCGCCACCAGACTGTCTTGCAGATTTTGGATCGTTGCTTTTTTCCCCAGACGCTGTCTCCAGAGGACAAACGCGGCCACGATCTGCGACTGCACGTTGTGAGGGTGATTGACTTTACATCGATAGATGTCAGTGTGGGACAAACCCAAGCACAGAACTATGTGCTCCCATTCCGCTCCCAGTCTCCTCGCAAGCCTGTTCAGCTGCTGATCTGTTGGGGAAGCCTTCAAAATACATGGTGCAATTTCAGTTGTACCTGTGAAAAACGAAAAAGAAAATGCATATGCATGTCACTAGGCAATGCTGCAAATATGCATGTAAGATCTTGACAAAGGAGGGAATAAGCAAAGCTGAGGTTAAAGAATTAATTAAACAGAATACATACTCACCTAGAAAAATTAATTACATAATCAACCAGAAGATTAATTAGAGGAAAACTAGTGCTCAGTGGACCATACAAGGGAGCCTTGAGGTTTTGGATGTCAGTAATCCAGGTATCAGAATTCTACTCCAAAGCCAAGACTTCCAAAAGTAATTATAGATTTTGGGGTAGTGAACAAGAAAGGTTTTCAAGGAACCCATTTCCAGCAGCCTTCACCCTCCGAAAATCAGTCTGCTTGCATCAGTATGATATAGTGACAAATGACAAACATGGGACCAAGAATACCTTATTACTCCTGTTCTGTGACTCTGTTTATATACTTCAGAAATAACTTTGATTCCTTAGATACTAGGTATTACTCTATTTTTTTTTGCTGAGGGCTGTTCACAGGAAATTATTCTGTCTCCTAAGATGCTACTTACCCTTGGTGCCCTGTCATATATGTCAAACTCACCTTGAAGAGACCAGCTTTTGGGGCTTTTCTTCTGTTTGAATGAACCCATAAGCATGGTTCAGGTGAACCCAAATGAACAGGGCATCAACACTGTTCCCCAGTGCAAATTATGTTTCCCTATCCCTCATCCCAGTTGCAGTAACACTCCTGAAAACAGGCATGTATGTGCTACAGCCCCATTCATCTGGCCTCCTTGAAGCTGTTTTCAGGAGTGCAAGGAGGTCTCAGCAATTTCTGCCCTGTGTCCCTTAGTGCTGCCCAAGCACCCAGCATGCCCCAGAGTGCACTCTTCATCCGAGACATGTTTAGCATTGAACTGGTACCCGAGTCACGGAGGATGGGATCAATACAACTGCCAAAATAGCTTTCACAGGAAGCATTAAGGTAGCTGTAATTATCAGCAGTAAAAATCTCTTAGAGACTGAACCGAGTATTTCTTACAAACACACATTCTGGCCAAGCCTGCAAATCTAAAAGCTCATGTGAATCTAAATCATTAGCATAGTAGTGACAGGAGAGGCTGAGGGAGCTGGGCTTGTTCAGCCTGAAGAAGAGAAGGCTGAGAGGGGACCTCATAAATACTTTTAAATATCTCAAGGGTGGGTGTCAGGAGGATGGGGCCAAACTCTTTTCAGTGGTGCCCAGCGACAGGACAAGGGGCAATGGGCACAAACTGAAGCACAGGAAGTTCCGTCTGAACACGAGGAAGAAGTTCTTCCCTCTGAGGGTGGCGGAGCACTATTCTGTGATTCTGTGATTCTGTGATATCTGTGTATTACCCATGGTAATTTGATCATTTAAAAACAATAAAGAAAAGCATTATAACAAACAGTGTGAGTAGCAGTGTCAGAATACAGTGCTATCCAGAAACATGCTGTATGGTATCCATCCCACCTAACTACAGACAGCCCCTCCTGATTTAATTATACTAGGATTAATTACCACTAAGGAGAAAAATAGGCTTTTCTGGAATACAGTCCATCTCACTGGAAAGAAGATGTCTAAAATGACCAGATTAATTACTCCTCTAAAAGTGCACATTTCTCTGCATTGACTGTAAAACGAGTGCTGGGTATGAGCTCAGATGTTGAGATTGACGCTGTAAACAGCCAGTGCTGGTGAAACGATTCTCTGCCTGTAAATTCAAACCACACACCAGTTGCTTTTAAAAGGTACATTTAGAAAAGCTGCGTAAGATATCTATAAAGCATATTTGCCCTCCAATACCCTTTGTGATCACAAGCTGAAATGATGGGTCAATGCAGCCTGCAATTGCTGCTCTACTTTTGTTGCTGAAGATACTGCATCAAAACAGAGCAAAAATATCCCCAAGAAAATGCTAATTATAGCCTGCCGGTCTGAAGCAGCAGACTCCCTACAGAAGAGCTGCTTCGCAAAATCTAATTTATAGCTCCAATATCATGCTCGCAGTCTCGACTACAGCAGAACAGCAACCCTAGAAAGCACTACTCCTTCATTTTATCAAAACTAATTGTTTTTACATAGAATATCCAGAGCCTGCAAACGTTTGTACAATTTAAGCCAAATCAGACATAAGTACTATACAAAGCTGCTTTAGTAAAGGGAGAACTGCTTTCTGAAGAGTATTTAGGTCCCTTTGATCTTTCTGTCTCCAGATTGCCGAAGGAACTGGGGCAAGTGGCTGGTCTGGGGACAGGGCAGAGGATGTGTGGCTCCTGGGGAAGGCTGAGCAATACTGGTGGGGCTGCCCTGCGCTGTCACATCACACATGATTCCAGCTCCACAGGTAAGTCAAGACAAGGGAGTACCTTTCATGAATGCAAATATCTGATAATAACTACAATTTCAAACAAACATAGCTACTTTGTGCTGTTGCCAAAACTACTTTTTGACATTAAACCCTTGCATTGGCTTATGGTCAGCATAAAGCAGCGTACCAAAGGAGCGCGACCTGCCAGCCTGGGCTTTTGGCTCTCAAGCTGGAATTTTTATACTTTATGTTCACCAGCAGAATGATTTTATGATACTGCAATGTGATCAAGCAGGCAGGCCTAACGATAATACATGTCAGCTTGTCCATCCAGCCTTTGATATTAGGCAGATTTTTCTTACTATAACAAGTATCTTGCCTTCAGCCTGTTATCAGCCCTTTAATAAGAATAAGAATAAAACCCATCCAGGAAATCTTTTCATCTTACGCTACCATCTGATTCTAATATGGATGTGGAAAATTCTGGGACAGAAGCCAAATGTTAAATTTAATACAAAGGGCTGTTATTTTAGTCTCATTTTCTGTGATAGCTCTTTTTCAGCTCTGATACAAAGTCACTGAGGAAAACCTGAGACAAGTATTACATGACGGGCAATACTATTTAGAGGTATAGAGAAATATTTAGTGAGATCCTATAGTTATGACAAATTCAAAACCACAAAAAGATTTGGATATCCTCTAGGATTAACGCCACTCTTCACTTTATAAACATAATGGCATCTCAGGTAAAAGGGAAATGAGTTATCTGTGCTCAGCACCCAAGCTGCTTTGAACACACTGCAAAAACATTAAAGATGCCTTTTTTTAGTTATGTTTACTACAGAACCTCACTTATAATCTCCATTTGTCAGGAACTGCCCGAGGGAGGTAATAAGATTAAGCAAAAAAATTTAAATTATGCAGATACATGCGGGAACTACAGGCCTGTCAGCCTGACCTCGGTGCTGGGCAAGATTATGGAGCAGTTCATCTTGAGTGCGCTCACTGGGCATGTGAAGGACAACCAGGGGATCAGGCCCAGCCAGCATGGGTTCATGAAAGGCAGGTCCTGCTTGACCATCCTGATCTCCTTCTATGACAAGGTGCCCCTCCTAGTGGATGAGGGAAAGGCTGTGGTCTTCATCTGCCTGGACTTTCGTAAGGCCTTTGACACTGTTCCCCACAGCATCCTCCTGGAGAAACCAGCTGCCCATAGTTTGGATGGGTGTACTCTTTGCTGGATAAAGAACTGGCTGAATGGCCAAGCGCAGAGAGTGGTAGTGAATGGAGTTAAATCCAGCTGGTGGCTGGTCACGAGTGGTGTTCCCCAAGGCTCAGTTTTGGGTTCGGTCTTGTTTAACATCTTTATCAATGATCTGGATGAGGGGATTGAGTGCTCCCTCAGTAAGTTTGCAGATGACACCAAGTTGGGTGGGAGTGTCGATCTGCTGGAGGGTAGGAAGGCTCTGCAGAGGGATCTGGAGAGACTGGATTGATGGGCTGAGGCCAACTGTGTAAGTTTCAACAAGGCCAAATGCCACGTCCTGCACTTGCTTGGGACCGAGAAAATCCCCTTTCTCTGGGCTGGAGGTGGGGAGGACACTCTCCACCCTGGTTTTGGAGCTGAAACCAAACCGGAGAAAGACCCACAGCTCCTTCTATTCAAAGTCGCAGCACAAGGGAACGCGCTTCTCTCTGTCTCCAGCTCTCACTGGTCAAGGAAGCTCATCCACCCTAAGCCTCTGCTGGCCATCTCAGTTAAAAAAAATGGAAGATGTCGACAACTTCTGGCCTGTATGTACACGCGTGCTTCCAGATCACTGCACAGACTGGGAGATACAACGGTGCTGGTGAGTGTGGACAGGAAACAGAACTGCATATAAATAGACAGAATCACAGATACGTACCAGACAAAACAGAGGAACCCAGATACCAAACCTATATATGGGCCAAAGGCAGATGGTCACTACTTCTGCATTTCTTTTTCTTTAGGACCTCTCCAGCTTTAAGTAGAAGACTCCAAGAAGATGTTGCAACAATCAGAGGGATGGAAAATAAACTCACACGAGCTCTGTCCCACCTGGCACAAGTGGGAGGATGCAAGATAAAGTCCAGTGAAAATGGACTTTGAATCACTTAAAGACTTTTTTTTGCTTTTGCTTTCTCATCACTATCTCTAGGTGATGAAAAAAGCTGAGATCATCTCTTAGGCTATCTTGCGTCATGGGAAAATCTTTTTCAGCATGAAGGAACTGACCTCCCACCCTCCATGCTGCTGGAACACAGTGGGGAGCAAGCGAGCTTGGCTCCAACACAGGACACAGCAGCAAAACGAGCGGAGGCATTTTGGGTGATCTGCAAAGTACCCAGCTGATTCCTCAGAACTGCCAGCAGCCCAAAGTGCCTTATGGTTTTGTCTAAAGGACCCTTCTCCACCTAAGTGTGACTTCTCTGTGCATGAACAGAAGCATCTCTTGGAGTTTCGGGGAGCCTTCTCCCTTATGCCGTCAATACATTTTTACATGATGCAACACATACCCAACATTTTGGCTTTCGCTCTTTGCTGTGTAAAAGGGACTTCGATGGAAATGATGTACCTGAATCCAAAGTGCTGCAAAAATCTCAATCAGCTGCTGCCTAATCCTGCAAGGACCACTCCACAGGCAGTTCAGGAGAGAGTTTGGGAGC